CAAAAATTAAAGGGGGGGAACCATATATTTCAGCTGCCTGAAATAATCTGTTCCCCCTCCATATCAGGGGAAGAAATTGATTTACCTGCAAGTCTTTAACTGTGCTTATTCCCCTCACCACCAAGAACAAATCCTGCGGATTTGGTCATATTTACTCTTTATTTGCAAAATAAAGAGAGGATCTAGGAAAGAAACCAAAAATGTAAAGTTTTATTTTAAAAATATGTCTTTGCGATTACACTACGCAATCAATAATTTCAGATTCACTTATATTCCAATTGCTGGAGGATCCTATCAAAGCTTCATTATGCAAGATACAATTTGATAAAACTTGTCCTCTTCATTTAACTTATACTAAATCTTTTAAAAATTCTAAAAAAGTTCTTCCCCAGTTCACGTCCGTGTCACTTTCTATCTCTCCACAGAAGTGACACAAGTCTTTTAGGTCATCTGGTAATAACAACATTATTAAAACATACACACACACACACACACACAAACACACATGATTATCCCAGTACAAACAATGTCCATAAATAAATGTTTTCAGATTCCTTGTTAATGTATTAATTTTGGGCTAAGTATAGATGTTTCAGTGAAACATACAAATAATGGTAATTGTGATAGCAATTGTCATTAACACTCAAAATAAGAATATGAATGTTATCCTCACCACTGTTAAGGATAAGTCTCACAGCAATTTCAAACCTCATGCTGTAGACTGCCTCAGTGGAAACAGGAAAATCCACAACCTTTTGCTAGGATCATTTCTGCAAACTGAGAGGTACAGCTTCATTTAATGGATTTAAATTTAAGTTACAAATAAAGTATTCCCTGTGCATGTGTAAAAATATATATCAAAATCCTGAAGTCATACAGTGTGTGACAATATGTATGCACCTTTGGTGCAAATGCACCACATGATGTGCTATCTTGTTGTTTTGGATGATTGACAGTGTCACATGTCCAACGTGAGACATTGCACCCCTTCTTCCTCATAAATGCCCTGTAAGTATAGATACATTAATAAGAACAATTTTATATGACTTTCATTCTTCATTAAAAGTTTCATTTTTAACCCTACCTTGTGATTTGCAAGCATTTCTTGATTTCTTGTTTTGATTCCCCCAGTGGATCCAAGAACAAAGACTTTTTTTTTTTGCGGATAGATCACCTAGAACGTGCATTTGACATTATTTATGTGGTTTTTGTTTATGAGATAAGTATGCTAATTAATGTTATTAAAGTAAAAAAAAAAATGTATTACCACTAAAGTCCTGTGGTGGTGTTGATTGTTTATTCCCAGAATAATTTCATAATTCATTGGGTTCATCTGTGAATGATAAAAAATGAATTAAACATTTTTATTAATCAAGAACAAAGCATGTTTTGTAACACACAGGTGATAGAAAAAAATTGTTAAAAGGATATAACCATAAACATTTTTTTTTATTGATTCCAAATATATTACTAACACATGGAGGAGTAATACATATACAGTCAACTGCACATAATGAAATGTGTAAGATACTGTATACCTTTAATCTAGGACTATTTCCCTGCCACATTGCTGTCATTGCAAAGGAATCTATGAACGCCGCCTGTCCCTTGTTCTGTCTGTTGTAATCATTCACGATGACAGCCAAAAATGCATTAATAGACTGCAATGTGTTACAAGAAAAAATATTAGTTATATACTTTAACTGCTGTGATATTCCTAAACAATATGGTCATTGTACCTACCTGACTCTCCAGGTCCATGCCAGGACCAATTTTGTAAATGTCAGAGTAAAACAACTTATATGCATTCACTTTTGACAGAAGGACAAAGACGTTTTTTCCAGAAAAAGCTTCATGGACATCTGATGAGGAGGAGGGGTTGAGGAGAAATGGAAAAAGAAACAAAAGTTAAAGATTATTTTCATTATCATGGCACCTATTTCATTCAATTTTACAACATATTACATATGTTATCCAACGATATGCAATTCATATGATTGGAGAATGAGAAAGTATTAACTTCACAGATTCATTCAGCTACTTTGAACATAGCAATAATAATAAAGCTAGAACTGTTTTTTACTGACTCACTGAAATTATTCTTCATTAAAAAAAAGACTAAATTGCATATCCATACAAATACATTTTTAACAGACACATATGTATGATAATACAAAGTGAAATTTATGTGCTTTGATACATCCATCCATTTTATGTCACGCTTATCCCAAGCAGGGTTGTGAGGGGTGCTGGGGCCTATCTCCAGCTGTCTAAGGACGAGAGACAGGGTTGCTTTGATATATATTTATAAGAATTTAAAAGAAAATTTACATTTCTCTGCTAGGGATTTTCTCTGCGTATCAGGTGGTGCTGGAGCAGAGGGAGATGATGGGGCAGAGGGAGGTGGTGCTGGAGCAGAGGGAGATGATGGAGCAGAGGGAGGTGGTGCTGGAGCAGAGGGAGATAATCCTGGAGCAGAGGGAGATGATGGAGCAGAGGGAGGTGGTGCTGGAGCAGAGGGAGATGATCCTGGACCAGAGGGAGATGATGGAATCAGAGGGAGGTGGTGCTGGAGCAGAGGGAGATGATGGAGCAGAGGGAGGTGGTGCTGGAGCAGAGGGAGATGATGGAGCAGAGGGAGGTGGTGCTGGAGCAGAGGGAGATGATGGGGCAGAGGGAGGTGGTGCTGGAGCAGAGGGAGATGGTGCTGGAGCAGAGGGAGACGATGGAGCAGAGGGAGATAATCCTGGAGCAGAGGGAGATGATGGAATCAGAGGGAGGTGGTGCTGGAGCAGAGGGAGATAATCCTGGAGCAGAGGGAGATGATGGAGCAGAGGGAGGTGGTGCTGGAGCAGAGGGAGATGATGGAGCAGAGGGAGGTGGTGCTGGAGCAGAGGGAGATGATGGGGGCAGAGGGAGGTGGTGCTGGAGCAGAGGGAGGTGGTGCTGGAGCAGAGGGAGGTGGTGCTGGAGCAGAGGGAGATGATGGAGCAGAGGGAGGTGGTGCTGGAGCAGAGGGAGATGATGGAGCAGAGGGAGGTGGTGCTGGAGCAGAGGGAGATGATGGGACAGAGGGAGGTGGTGCTGGAGCAGAGGGAGGTGGTGCTGGAGCAGAGGGAGATGATGGAGCAGAGGGAGGTGGTGCTGGAGCAGAGGGAGATGATGGAGCAGAGGGAGGTGGTGCTGGAGCAGAGGGAGATGATGGAGCAGAGGGAGGTGGTGCTGGAGCAGAGGGAGGTGGTGCTGGAGCAGAGGGAGATGATGGGGCAGAGGGAGGTGGTGCTGGAGCAGAGGGAGATGATGGGGCAGAGGGAGGTGGTGCTGGAGCAGAGGGAGGTGGTGCTGGAGCAGAGGGAGATGGTGCTGGAGCAGAGGGAGATGATGGAGCAGAGGGAGGTGGTGCTGGAGCAGAGGGAGATGATGGAGCAGAGGGAGGTGGTGCTGGAGCAGAGGGAGATGATGGAGCAGAGGGAGGTGGTGCTGGAGCAGAGGGAGATGATGGAGCAGAGGGAGGTGGTGCTGGAACAGAGGGAGATGATGGAGCAGAGGGAGGTGGTGCTGGAGCAGAGGGAGATGATGGAGCAGAGGGAGGTGGTGCTGGAGCAGAGGGAGATAATCCTGGACCAGAGGGAGATGATGGAGTAGAGGGAGGTGGTGCTGGAACAGAGGGAGATGATCCTGGAGCAGAGGGAGATGATGGAGCAGAGGGAGGTGGTGCTGGAGCAGAGGGGGAACAGAATATTTCAGGCAGCTGAAATAATCTGTTCCCCCCCTTTAATTTTTGCAAATAAAGAGTAAATATGACCAAATCCACAGGATTTGTTCTTGGTGGTGAGGGGAATAAGCACAGTTAAAGACTTGCAGGTAAATCAATTTCTTCCCCTGATATGGAGGGGGAACAGAATATTTCAGGCAGCTGAAATAATCTGTTCCCCCCCTTTAATTTTTGCAAATAAAGAGTAAATATGACCAAATCCACAGGATTTGTTATCGGTGGTGAGGGGAATAAGCACAGTTAAAGACTTGCAGGTAAATTAATTTCTTCCCCTGTTATGGAGGGGGAGCAGATTATTTCAGGCAGCTGAAACATCCATTCTCTCCTCTCCTCCTCCCATATCTTTGGGAAACAAAGAGCAGCTGTTTCCAATTTCTCTAAAATTGATATGTGTGATGTGATATACTATAAATGTCCTTAATCCAGTAATCTGTCATATTTTACATTAGAAGGTGATTAACCAGAAATTCTTCTCTGATCTTCACAGGACGTCTTAATTTGTGTGCCCTGCTATCAGCCAGTTTCCATCCTCTTATATCAGCAATGAAAAATTAAAAATACACTACGTGTTGTTGTGTTCGGTGACTGACGTTTATTTCTGTCAGGCTGAAGGGACAAAAGTTGGAGAAATACCGATTCTCTTGGCGTTTAAAAAAACAACACAAAACAGCGTAAGAGGACCTCGTTAATGTATTTATTTTACATTTTTTTTTAAAAGAGCAACCGATTAAAATGGATGTTACAAAGTTGAGATGGGAAACAACATATATGAGCTGTTTTTACCGAAAAATGATCAGGAGCGTCTTCAGAATGGTCAGATCCGCCTCTCTGGCTGCAATGCGCGCTCCCGACACAGGGGGAACAGATTTTCATGGGGAAACAGAATTTCGCACAAGACCGGTCCCTGGCTTCTCTATTTAATGTGTCCCGGTAAATTCCAGATCCTTTTCGGGATTTTAACATCTTTTTTCTCTCTACTTCTGTCTATTCTTTCAACAACAACGTTGTGTCAGAGCTATGTTTACGTTTGCGTAGCAGTCAGTATGGCTGCGACGTCCCACAATGCAACGGGGATCCCGAGCCCTATTGAGGCATTCGTCACCCTCCATTTTAGCCTGAATTTCCGAGTGTAAAGTAAACGCCTCATAACGTCCATCGGTCCCGTTATGCGTCTGTCTTTTACTTTGAAGGCTCACCGGAAGTCCACCCATGAAGAAGGCAACTTGATTAGTCCTCATTAAACGTAACCACAAACCTGTGAGTTTGGGGCGATAAGGGTTAACTAAGCGTTTAGAAAGGCCCTGCTGGCTCATAGAAATCCTCTCTGTCAGGATTCGGGGAGCCGGTGGCCTCCGCTCCAATGTCTCCAGCAGTAATGAACCCCGCATGGCCTTTTTTCCAGCAGCTCACAGAAACGCCGCATTTACCGTAAAACACGGCAGCGGAGGAAGAAGGGGAGCAGCAGCTGGTCCCCCTCCCTCTGAGTTTATTCTCCTCAGCGCTTTGTCCTCCGGTACCGACATGCAAACATGTCCGCGAAAATAACCAGCGCCGTGAACCGTGAGCGGAGCGGCTCTGCGCTGTTACCGGTGATAAAGTAGGAAGGTTGGCGCACGATCCTGAGCTGAAGTCGCTCATTTCCACAGACTCAGGATGAAGAAACCCAAAGGGATCCGGATCCTTTCTGCCCTGTGTCTGGGATGTTTCATTATGGTCATCTTCTACTTTAACAGCAGCCTGAAGCCAGGTGAGCTTTAACAGAAACACATCTGCTGTCAGAACAGAAATGATTCCTGTCTGGGTTCTGATTGATCTGTAGAAATTAATCTTTGGGTTCATTCCGAGCCTGATGCTGCGGGGAGAACTGGATCCCAACCAGAGACAAAAGAGCTACACGTTCCCATTGCAATCTATTCAGGTGTGGCAAACCTGAATAGATCAATAATAAACAATCTAGCTTATTTCAGATTAAATGTAAATCCTAATCATTAAATATTGGGCTGACCTCTATGAAGGACCAACTCTGCCACATTTAAAAAGAAATACAGAAATAAATAAATGCTCAATAAATGTATAAGCATACAATTAATTGCCAACAAAAAAGTGAGACATAAATGTATATAACTGTTAATTAGCTTCTTTATTTATTTGCCTTTGTAATATTTACCTTATTTATTTTTCTGTCCTTTATAATCTTCAACTTTATTTTTTAATTACTTATATTTTTAAGTATTTATTTATGTGCATGTTATTATATTTTTGTCTGTTTTATTCTTCCTTTGTATTTTTTTACCTTAGTTATTTCTTCGCCGCTGTTTATTTCTCTCTGCCCTTTTTACATTTCTCTATGCATTTCTATCTCATTATGCAAATGAGGAGGGGGTGTGTCCTAGAGAGTCAACTTCTGCTCATTGGTTGGCTTGGCGGCCCATCTTCTTAACTCACAGAGCTCAGAGTACTAAGTTAAATGTTCTCTTTTCTGTTGCTGTTGTTCAATAAAAGTACGTTTTAATATCATTTGAGGCGAGAACCTTATACTTTTAAGCATCACCATATGGCCCATTCACAGATTTAATGCGTAATTTAAAAGAAAATGTGACGAACTTGAGAGGACAGCGGCACCAGCGGAGCTCCGAAGCTGACGGCAGCCAGGTCTAACCACAGCCCATCTGCAGCGGCCCTCTCTCGGCATAGCCGTGTGTGAAGCATGTTGGTTAGCATTTTACTACATCGGTCGAATCTACAGGAGGAGAGTCTGATGTCGAGTCTGAAGTCAGAACTTGAGTAGGGACTTTGCCAAACTTTGCCAAATACAACAAAAAATCGCCATCATAGCCTGGCTATAGACCTGACTGCCGTCAGCTTCGGAGCTCCGCTGGTTGCCACGGTCCTCTCAAGTTCGTCACATTTTCTTTTAAATTACACATTAAATCTGTGAATGGGTCATATGGTGATGCTTAAAAGTATAAGGTTCTCGCCTCAAATGATCTTAAAACGTACTTTTATTGAACAACAGCAACAGAAAAGAGAACATTTAACTTAGTACTCTGAGCTCTGTGAGTTAAGAAGATGGGCCGCCAAGCCAACCAATGAGCAGAAGTTGACTCTCTAGGACACCCCCCCTCCTCATTTGCATAATGACATAGAAATGCATAGAGAAATGTAAAAAGGCAGAGAGAAATAAACAGCGGCAAAGAAATAACTAAGGTAAAAAAATACAAAGGAAGAATAAAACAGACACAAATATAATAACATGCACATAAATAAATACTTAAAAATATAAGTAATTAAAAAATAAAGTTGAAGATTATAAAGGACAGAAAAATAAATAAGGTAAATATTACAAAGGCAAATAAATAAAGAAGCTAATTAAGAGTTATATACATTTATGTCTCACTTTTTTGTTGGCAATTAATTGTATGCTTATACATTTATTGAGCATTTATTTATTTCTGTATTTATTTTTAAATATGGCAGAGTTGGTCCTTCATAGACCTCTCCCTACACCCGTAGCATTACATTCCAGGTCCTGTTTCAGTTAAAATAATCAAATTTTCTCTTTAGTACACTCTGCTTGTGTCCATATGTGTTATAAACATGGGAGCACCTGTTACAATTTGAAGAGCACTCCGCATTCTGTTTTTGGTTAAATGACTTAATTAAGACCATTCATATCCAAAATGTTGTTCTGATTTTCCTTATGTTGGCCTTTTCTTTCATATTTTATACATTTCCTGGAAAAGGATTCATTGCTGTCTCTTTTGGTTTAAGAAATACAAAGAAAAAAAATGGCCCTCAAATAATGTGAGGCCCAAAAATAAAAGCCACTGCAGTTTGTAATCAATGTGAACACAACCAGAAGTGGGTAGAGTACCTAAAAAAATAATTCCAGTAAGAGTAGCTGTTCTTCAGCTTAAAAAAAAATAAAAATCTATCAAGTGAAAGTAAATAGCAGTCATCCAAAAAAATGTAAAATAAATAAATACTCAAAGAGCAGTAATACAAAATTAGGTAAAAACTCAAGTACAGAGTAATTGTTGGATTATAGCATCTGATTTAATTAGTAGCAATACTTCACAAGAGTTATACTCAAAAGTAAAAAGTACCATACAGTAAAACTACCTCTGAACCAGGGGTGGAGCTAGATGGGGGGCAAGGGGTGGCCATTGCCACCCTCATCCAATCATTGGCCACCCCTGTGCAAAGTCATCATATATTAACAAGCGGTTGACAACAAAAACACTGTGGTTAACACACTGTGTTGTGGTTCATGTTGTTATGCACATCAATATACTAACATTAAAGATGATAAATACAGAATTTATGCTCTTTTCGGAACTAGATTTGTCGTATGGGGTAAAGAAAAAATTATGTGTTTCTGCAAGTCATCTCGGAGTCTTCAGTGAAATCATAGATAACTATTTTAATAAAAACTTAATAAACAATCAATTTATGTAGATATTAGTACTTGTAAATATCAATTTTATGCAGAATGATTATTGATAAAAGTAGGTAAGTAATGACAATGGAAAAGATTTACGCCACAGAACTCAAACCTGAAACTATTTTATCCACTATACCTTTTATCTAGAAAGTACTGATGTTTAAATATATGTGTCTATTTGTTTGGAAAGGTGGTAGGGAAGTATACAGTAGGTTGTCTTTATTTAGAAAATATGGATGATTTGCTTGTTAATTTTCCTGTTGGAACAGTGTAGATTGACCATGAGATTGTGGCGCCTATCAGCCACCCCTCAGCGTTCATTGGTTGCTGCCTGGCCACCCTTATAAAAAGGTTCTGGCTACGCCTCTGCTCTGAACTTTACTCTGGTGAAAGATGGTGGAGGAAGATTAATGCTGCTGGGAGGCTTGTCCTCGACTGGGACAGGGAAACTGGGTTGACAGGTAGATTACATGTTTTTACCTCAGAACTGGGATGTTGGAGAGACGTCATCTCCGAGGTGATGCTATTCCAGCCCATCCTTATTTTATGGCCACTACAACCCCTGTTCAAACAAAAACAATTATAATTAAAGCCACAAGTGGCATTGAGCGGCCCTCGCAGCTCGCACCGCCTGGTATGTTGCGATCGCGGGAACCAAGCGACCTCCACCTCCACGCACCTTCCCAGCCTATGCTCCTGCTCTTCAGCCTATGCCTGCTGCTGCTTCTCTTCATCCTCCCCCTCCTTCTCGTTCTGCTGCTGCCACTGTTTCTTATTCTCCTCCTCCTGCAGCTTCTCCTCATCTTCCTCCTGCTAATGCAGCTTCTCCTCATCATCCTACTGCTTCTGCTTATCTTCCTGTGTCTCCTTCTCCTCCTCCTGCTGTCGCTCTTGCTGCGTCTCCTTGTCCTCATCCTGCTGCTGCTTTCTCTTCATCCCCTGCCTGCTGCTGCTTCTCCTGTTCCTTTTCATCCTCCTTATCCTGCTTCATTTAATCCTCCTCCATTCTCCTTCTGCTGTTTCTCATCCTAATCATCCTCCTCCCCCTGTGCTCCTTCTCTTCATAATCCTCTTCCTGCTGCTGCTCTCACTGCATCTGTTTGTTTCTCATCCTCATCATCCTTCTCCTCCTCCTAAAAGCATGGCTTTGTATGACTGGAGTTAACAGTTTGATGCATAGCCACACCCACATGCTTTTATGTAGAATAATAATTTTGATAACTTTTAATCGGCTATGACTATAGTCCATGAAAAGTTAATTTGAATTCTCTAACTCAAAAAAAAAAACCAAGAGCCCTTCACTCAGATATGTCATGACTTAAAAAAAGAAAATGTTGTTCTTGTTGGGTTTGGACCATGGCTCCAATTGACTTTTTTGTGCGTCCTGTTTGTTTTTTACCCCTTATGTCTTAAGTCAAGGCTCAGCAAGTTAGAAGTTTGCAGCTCAATCGCTCAAGGAGGAGTTAGCTAAAATACAATATAAAGATGAAAAAGCTAATGATGGCTTCAATTCAAAATGGCGGACTTCCTGTGGGGTTTGGACCATGGCTCCAATACAACTTTTTGTAGGTCGTGATGGGTTACATATGTGTACAAAATTTCATAACTCTCATTAAAAAAATGGCATGGGGCTTGCATTGTGTTTTATAGCAAAGGGACCACATTTGACGCTTGGCCACGCCCACATGCTTTGATGTAGAAAGATTCCTCTGATAAATTTTGATCCCCTCTACCTCAGCTCAAGGTAGAGTAAGTTTGAACTCTGTAACCCAAAAGCTCTAGGAGGAGTTCGCTCAAATAGGTCACGAAGGTAAAAAAGCAAAGGGATTTCTTTGATTCAAAATGGCCGACTTCCTGTGTGGTTTGGACCATGGCCCCAAGAGGCTTTTCTGTAGGTCCTGAGGGGTTACATAGGTGGCCCAAGTTTCACATCTCTCAGTCATAACATGGCATGGGGCTTACCCTTTGTTTCACTGCCTAATGACCAAGTTTGGCGCTTGGCCACGCCCACATGCTTTGATGTAGAAAAATTCCTTTGATAACTTTTGATCCCCAATGTCTCAAGTCATTATACAGTGAATATAAAGTCTGTAACTCAAAAGCTCTAGGAGGAGTTTGCTCAAATAGGTCACAAAGGTAAAAAAGCAAAGGGATTTCTTTGATTCAAAATGGCCGACTTCCTGTGTGATTTGGACCATGGGCCCAAGAGACTTTTTTGTAGGTCCTGTGGGGTCACATAATTGGTCCAAGTTTCATAACTCTCAGTCATAAAATGACATGGGTCTTACCCTTTGTTTCCCTGC